TGTTGCACGACGCGCCGTTTTGCAACATTGTGACTCACGGTCGCTCCCAAAAATTGCACATTGTTGCAAAACGGGGGCGCCGTGCAACAATGTGCGATTTTCGTCGGCAACAAAGTTGCAAACCCAGAACTCGTTTGCAACAATGTGCAATTTTCGGGAGCGACTATCGGCAACAAAGTTGCAAACCCAGAACTCTTTGCAACAATGTGCAATTTTCGGGAGCGACTATCGGCAACAAAGTTGCAAACCCGGCAACGCGTTTGCAACAATGTGCGATTTTTGGGAGCGACTTTCGACTACAAAGTTGCAAAAGGAGTAATCGCGTTTGCAACTTTGTTGTCGAAAGCAGCTCCCGAAAATTGCACATTGTTGCAAAACGGGGCGTCGTGCAACAATGTGCAATTTTCGAGACAACAAAGTTGCAAGCTCGATAACGCGTTTTGCAACAATGTGTAATTTTCGGGAGCGATTAATGACAACAAAGTTGCAAACCCGATAACGCGTTTGCAACAATGTGCAAGTTTCTGGAGCGATTCGCGGCAACAAAGTTGCAAAAAAAGAATCGCGTTTGCAACTTTGTTTCCTTGAACGGCTCCCGAAAAAAGCACAATGTTGCAAAACGGGGCATCGTGCAACAATGTGCAATTTTGGCGACAACAAAGTTGCAAACGCGGTAACGCGTTTTGCAACAATGTGCAATTTTCGGGAGCGACTCGCGACAACAAAGTTGGTAACCCTACAATGCGTTTGCAACATTGATTCTCGCTCGAGCTCTCGAAAAGACGTAAATTATTGCAAACACGATTTCTCGCTTTTGCATCTTTGTGAAATGCGTTATTTTTGAAACGCACGTATTTCCGTTTGTAACGCTATACTACATTCAAAACATTGTCGTATGCAGTACTTTGTACGCAAAACATTGCCACAAGCATTTACTTGAACACTGGTGTTCAAATGAAAAAGTGCTAAGCCACATGTCCAACTTATTCATCTATGGATAATGCAGCTTGTACGTAAGCATCTGTATGGAAAATATATGCATTAACCGTGTTCCTTATTAAAGTAAGTTTTGTACTAAGTAGAAATTTCATCCCATTCGAAACGAAATATACTTACAATACAATTGAAACCTCCCAAAGTGTGTTCTCTTCTCTCAAATAAAGTTACCAATCGAATTCTTGGAACCCTCCACCGATTAACCAACAAAAGCGACACACAGAAATAATAATATCGAAGTTTTAAAACTGTACCGTTCATAACTCTTACCTACCTCTCGTACAATATCTTAAAGCAATTTACGAGCACATCAGTTTCCACGTCCATTCGATTCACCCTCGTGAGCAGCCGGGAATCAATCGCGGGCACCCTAGACTATATAGTATTGTACACTATTTGAAAATAATAAAATATCAAAAATTTAACATATGGAATACTTTCTTTCAACCGTGATATTTCTCTGTCGCCTCTCAATTTCAGACAAAACTACCTGAAAAATGTCGACTCCGTTTTTCTAAATCCACAGAAATTCGTAAATTCGTGAATTCTGTTGCGTTGTAGTAATTACAGATCACGTAGTGTCAAATCGTATTCCAAAATCTTCACTTTCAAACGTTCCTGTTGGATTATTACGAGAAACGAGTGTGTGCAGTGGTAACAGCACAAATGATCAACATACTGAGGCAGGTCAATATAAACATTTACAGAAGAATGACATAATAACCATCTGTTTACTATGGCTGGACGCTGATATGCTTTTTTCCCTTCGCGTCTTGTCGAGCTCTTATCAGTGCGAAGTGACGTGCCTTTCTCGCGTATAAAAATAAAGAATAGTTTATAATTGAAATACCACCTTGTAACTTATTGCCTAAATCCAACAGTTCATTAGAAACACAACGACCAAACAAGAAACACACACGATCAAACCGCAAATGTCCAGCGTGTCATTCTCCTACAAACACTGTTCCAGAATTCAGAACACCATAAATTTCCTTCAGAAACGAGCCAATTTATCACAACTTAAGGTACCATTTGAATTTTGAAAGTTCGCCCGAAAACAACCATACAGCTATAAAGTTTCACGAAGTGAATTTGCCAGTTCGTATACTACCTTAAAAACGAATACACAACCGTGGATTTTCTGAGACTGCGTTTTACAGTGTACGTGCAATGAAACGACCAACAACTGCCTATATGCAGCAGCTACCTTGCTCGTAAACTAAACGGGGGATGGTGGTGCAAGCTCTCGACTAAATCCAGTCCTCTAGCATCTCTCTGTACAGGAGGAGGATAAGCACCAAGTCGCCTGGCGGGTAACTGCGACAGGGATGGGGGAATCAGTAGTAATACAACAGCGTATCGAACTTTTGGCAACTGGAAACTATCGACCAGTCCAATCCGTTTCCTGGCTTGGTTGGTGTCCAGCTGCGATGACGAAGGAAAAGCCTTGATGAGCTTCCCCCAAGAATGGCCGACTTTCTCCGCTGTTTTCTCTCTGTGTGTAGAAGTTGTCGTTTGCGTCAGGTTCGGTGTTTATGTGTGTTTCAGTGCCACTGAATTCTGACCACCTTTCTTACGAAGTGGTCGGTACAACGTGATGACGAACCTTCGATACGAGAAATGCGGCGCAGGATTTCTTAATTATTCTGTGTTTGACGAACCTTTGATATAAGAAATACGAAATTTTTGGATTTCTTAATTATTCTATGCCTGACGAACCTTTGATAAGAGAAATACGGTGCATCTTTGGATTTCTTAATTATTCTTGGAGAAATAGCTCAAGAGGGAAAGTTATCGAATAGAAAGGTATCGTACTTTCTTCGTGAAATTAAAAAGGAAGGCGAAATCAGAGCAATCCACAATCAATTTGTGTAACTTTTTTATACGATAGTAATTCGATAATATTTCTATTGAAAATAATAATACGAGTAATTCCGAATGTAATTATTTCGGAGACATCGAAATGATAAATCTCTGATAACAGAAATACGCTGCACTTTAGATTTGCGCTATCTTAATTTCTCTATGAAATTAGAGAAAGGGAAAAATAGGGCAATCCACAATTTATTTGTGTAAATTTTTAGTAATTCGATAATATTTCTATTAAAATTATTTATACGAACATTTCCAAATGTAATTATTTCTGAGACAGCGTAATGATAAATCCTTGATAAGAGATACGTTGCATTTTGGATCCACGTTATCTCAATTGTTCTCGGAGAAATAGCTCAAGTATAAAATCGATCAGATAGAAAAATACCTTACTTTCTTCACGAAATTGAAGGAAGGTAAAAATCGAGCAATTGACAATTTAATAAACGCATAATTTTGTATACAGCAGTAATTCTACGATATTTCTATTAAAATTAATAGTAAGAGCAAAATTTCTGAGATATTTTAATATTTTTATCATACATCGCGCTCTTTCTTATCACCACCGTTATCTAACGAGATATTGTGTTCATTTTTAATTGCAGGATGTTGTTTCGTAACGTTTTACACGAGAAAAGCAGCTCTCGACGCCCAGAATGCGTTGCACAACGTGAAAACTTTCAGCGGGGTAAGTCGAACAATATCTTATTACGTATGAACGAATTACTTTTTTCTAGCGAGGCTTGCTCGACGTTAATTACCGTTTTTGTTCCAATTTCGTAATGCTATAATTGATCAAAATGTAACAACCTGCGATATCATTGCGACGAGTGATTAAGCGTAATTAAATTCACACACAAAAAAGTGTAAACAAATCGTGCCGTCTATAATTAATGCACTAATTATTATTGTTCTTATCAATACTAATTTCAATCACCAGAGGGTTAAACGAGCGTTTAAATAATTTATTATTAATCGAAACGCAGTGTATTACATCGTGTGAATACTACTTCACAGTTGAATTAATTACCAATTTTCGCGTAAACTATGTTAACACGAATAAAACGACGATATTTACGTATTTATACATGATGTGTAACGATATAATAGCGTGATCAAGTAATTTTCAAACAGATTTCAATGGAACGATAAATATTGACTATGAAAACGTGATTAAACATTGCAATTTTGAAAATGTATGAAATACACAAATTATGCTAGAAATAAGCAAAAAAAGAATGAAATAAAAATATTGATACCAATTGAAATTTCAGATAAATTTCAATAATTTTCGCTAAATTTCTGAGACACGCAAGAAGATGGGAAAAAATTCGTTAAGAAGATTATGGTTGTTCCTAGTGCGTTTACCTGAAGTAAATTCGATTTTTACGAGTAGGACAGATTCCGTTTAATTATACACTTACAAAATGCACTTGATATTTGCGCATGTTGTGCCATAATTATTCTGTCCTCACAGTTACGTATTAAAATGTACCACTAAAATTATTCTCTTACCACTATTTCGTGCTGTTGCACGCTAATGATGAATAATTTCGTCGGAACAATTCAGTACACGATAAGAGTACTACAGTGCAAGCTTACTATAATATAACTTCAGTCGTTACTCCGAAAATGAATTAAAATTGAATGCAATTCACAAATCAAATAAAATAATAAAAATTTATAGCATATTTTGCTGTAAATTTCAGACTGGATTATGCGAGCGGGAAGATGATCTTCTTACAATCTGTACGTGATTAATTTTTAAATATATGCTGTTACGAATGAAATTTTCAACTTAACCTCTTCAGGGACGATTTTCTTCAAAATTGGAAAATTATCTAATTTTTCATGTAGTTACATTTATAGTCATGTTAAATCGATAGCAATTAAACTACTTTCCTTACGAGATTTTTCGAGATTTCGGGAGATTGCGTTTTTCATATTTTCTCTATCGCAAATACTAAAGGTACACATGTGTGTCGGTGTCCCTGAAGAGGTTAAGTTAATCACACTAAGAAAAAACAGAATTACGGTGTAATTTTGAAATTTCTGGCAATCTGAGCTGCGATATCGTTGAAAATATGAGTGTGTGTATGGCGAATTCGCGTGAATCGACGCGAGTACTACACATTCGTACACTGAGCGAATAATGAACGCTTATCTAGGTAATTATCTGAGTGGTCATGATTCGCGTAATCGAGATATTGACCGAACAATGAATATTAACAAGGTTGATCGTGCAAATAAACTATTCAAACCGGGCATAACCACTCGATCAATCCTTTAACTAATCGTCCATTGCCGGAAGTGAAGTGTTCAGCCTGAGTTGAATAAGATTTCAATTCGTTTCAATATTCAGGGAAAAATTCGTGTAATTTTTGACCAAAAATGTTTCCGCTTTGAAATTATGTCATTTTCTATACACTTTTAACGATAATTAACTGTTTCACTATGTTCCTTTAAAGCGAGTGAAAAGCTACCGCGAGTAAAATAAATGAATATAAAATTGAATCGAAATTGAAATTGAAATTCAATTGAATTTCAGTTGAAATTTTATTGAAATAAAATTGATCAAATTTGTGTTATTTGTGAAAAATTAAGCACCAAACCCGTGTGCTTTGAGACTAAAATTTGACGAATATCAGAAAGTGGAGTTAATCATTTTGCCTTCTGAGTGGCTGATATGCGTAATTTACTCAATTCTGATTATTCTCACATTGTCTAATAATCACATTGTCGTACTGTCAAGTATTGTTATATTAACAATAAATTCCATTGCGTACTCATTGAATTTCGACAGCTGGTATATTAAATTGTATAAACACTTTCTGCTACACATTCGTCCTGACAACGAGAAATACGTTCAATTAGGTTCAACTCGTAGATTGCATTTATCGCGATGGAAATTTCGTCGAAAGCTAGTGCAAATGAGTTTCAGGCCCGCTAGTCCCTCTGTTTTAAAGGTGATTAATGTCTTGCTATTAAAAATAATAACATGTATCTGCACCAAATACAGAATCCTGGTAAACGTGACACACCGATTCCAAATTTCGTCGGAAGCTAATGGAAATGAGTTTTAGGCCTGCTAATCTTCTAAATTCGTACCAAGTACAGAATTCTGGTAAGCGTAAAACACCGATTCCAACGATTCGATTCGCTGATTATTATTCTCACGTTACCCCAAAGAATTTTCACTCAAACAGAGCGACTCGGAGTGACGTGATCGCGCGACACTCGACTCGATCTCCCGATTCGAATATTTGGCGGGAAGAAGGAGAAATGGAAATAAGAAACATCCGTGAAAATATTTTTCACCGCGGTTTGCATTCCGCCGATTGTTGCGACGCGACCGATGGTATCGTTGGAAGTGCAGCCGCGTGATAATTACAGTTTCCCCGTGAACTTTCGATGCAATTACGAGACGTCATTACGAGCATTTAACCCACGATCCCTCCTGCACTTCGTTTACGCCGTAGCTGCGCGCATTTATGCTTGAATTTACCAGAATAATTATCATCGATCGAGACACGGAGCAACTCACTTCTATTCCCGAGTCTCGCGAAAGATGGAAAACAAGGAGCGAGGTAAATTTCGGAGGATCGATCCGGTGAATTTCACGCGAACGGCTGTTTTTTTTTCACTGTAAGAATTCGTAAGGGTGCAGATTTCGTGGCGTGATTCGAATCATGCCAAGTTGGATATTGATAATTGCCTACTTTCCTGTGTTAGGAGAAGTTCAATCACTTTTATCACTCGCGATTTTTCGCTTCAGTTTCGTTTACGCGGCTGTAGAATGTCCGCGAGCCTTGATTATCGATCCTTTCTTTCTGAAGAGATTTATTTTTTTCAGTATTAGCACTTTGCTGTTGGGAGACTAGTTTTCTAGTCCGAAGCATACTGACGCTCGTCAGGATGAGTCTCGTTGTTAGGACAGCAAGGGGACGATTTTTTTAAACCGTTATTTTTAATTCCGCAGACCGGTCTGCAGCCACCATGCGGCACGTAGAATTTCTCATATATTAAAGAACAGGCTATTGTTCAGTCAGTAAGGCAAGGTGTCATAAAGTCACCCCCAAAGGGTCTTCGAAACCGATGCAATTACCGAGGCCTCTCGGTACCTGACCTTCCGAACGAGTCGGAGAGTCAGAGTTGACCTGGCCGGGTTTTCCCCCCTTGTTGTCCGCAATGAGACGGCACCAAGTGCAATATTCGAAGTACGTGGAAATTAGTACCCGGGTGCTTAACACTGGTACTGTTATGCCGCGGCAAAGAGAGGAGTCTGGTGTGTAAAAGTAGTTTTATTAATATAATACAGGAATCACGTACAGAGGACGTTTTCACTATGACGTGCGCGGGGCGAGGTGAAACCAACTATTGCCCGGAATGTGTGGGGACGCTGTCCTTTATCCCTTCGCTTTTCCTGGAGTTTGTACCCTTATGAGTAAGCCGTTCGAGCTTCGAAAGGATCCTCCTGGTGCGTCAGGATAGTGACTAATTCTAAGCGGTGTCGCTATCCTAACAGTACGACTCACACTCACTCTCTCTTGATCCCACAGAGTTTTTACCGTGTTTTCATAAATTTCTCCATTGCCGAAGTGGATTTGAGTGATATTGAAAGAGATGAAAACGAAATATTTGCTGATAGATCATCAGATTATTCTTGCAATGTATTGTTTTGAGACAGTCTCAGAAGATAGCGACATTGTGCCTGTGAAAAATCGCAATCGTTTTCGTATTTTATCTAGTAGTGACTCGGAAGAAGATGAAATTGATTTTTATTTTTTTTTTATTTTTTCACTTTGTGAATTTGCTCGGGTTTGCCCGCTACAGATGTAAGACGCGCGAAATATAGCCCGACAGCAAAGTGTTAGTTTACATTTTTCAACTTTTATTCAACTTCCAATTAAACTTCAAAACTTTATTAACAAGATGTATAAATTTAGATATCGTAATTGTTTGTAACAGTATTTTAAAATTTCTAATCTTTCTGAAATTTCAATAGCACGGTTGTCTACTGTAATTTTATCTTCGTCATTTTCGATAGTAAAGAGAGTCGTGGAAAAATAATTTATCAATTGAAATATTGATTATTATTTGAAAATTACAAGAAAAGAAATATATTTCGTTGGGTTGCTTGAAAGATTGAGTTGTAAAGTCTTCAATTTACAACAGCGATGGCTCGTTCATAAGGCACCTCCAGTATGATTTTAACGATTTTTTCACTTTCATCGCTACAGTCTACCGCTATAAATTCCTACGAGTCTCCGCTGTCTCCTAAACTATTCCTGATTGTTGCCTGATGAACTATACCTGATCGACGCAGCAATAAAAATTAAACGGTATCTTTCTCGGCAGTTGAAGGCAAATCCAACGCGCTACTCAAATAATTCGTAAGGTGAACAGGGGTGGATATAAATCGAATTATATTTTTCACAGTGGAGCGTGGATGTTGAATTTTTCGTGGCAACGCTTCACCGCAGAAAATAGGTTAGATACATTGGATTTATCTTCAAATAACCTTCTGTAAAGTACCTTTTAGTTTTTGTCGCTATCTCGATTAGAAATAGAATTTTTCTTACATTTCCCTATGAACTTTCCCGAACACCTGAAAATATCAACACAGGTGTCGAAAGAAACAAGAAGTGATTAATTGAAACGACTGACAAATTACAGCTTAATTACCTC